ACTTTCCGCTGAGAAAGTCAAGTGGTTTTCTTGTGCCCACTTCAGAGTCAGGTTCATCTGTTTTTGTAGTGTTTTCAGTTTATGATTCAGGTTCATTCCTCTTGCTAGGACTGCTATGTCGTCAGCATACAGGAATAGCCTAATCCGTGGTATCTGTGGTAGTTAATTGACATAAAGCGAGAACAGTAGCGGGGAGAGCACGGAGCCTTGGGGGACTCTGGCAAAAATCCCGCGCTTCGAGGATCTCACTTTTCCCACTTTGACCACGAAGGTGCGGGTTGTGGAAAGGATGCAATCATATCCGTTACATTTTTAGGGAGGCTTTGTCTTAGTTTGGTAAGAAGTGTATTGTGTGGCACTTTGTCGAAGGCTTGTTCCATGTCGAGGTATACGACTGATACATCCTGCGAGAGTAAGAGGTCAGCGGAGAGCCATACATAGTGCCTGGAGTGAGGCTCAATGTCCCGGTCGGAAGGCAAATTGCTCATCTGTATAAGGTTTTGTGAGATGATAGCTGGTTGGATTCGCCTTTCGAAAACTTTCCCCATGATTGGGAGCAGACTGATAGGCCTATATCTCGTCGCTAGGGTAAGGTCCTTACTCGGTTTCAGTAGCATTGAAATACTCGCGTGTTTCCAGCTTTCCGGGAAATAACGTAGTGTGATACAGCTGTTGTAAAGGCGTGTTAGATCAGAACCAATTATCGGAAGCGCTTCTTTCAGGATTGGGGGACCGATCTGGTCGGGGCCCGGTGCCTTGCGATTGCGCATGTTCAAGATAGTTTGGGTGATTTCTTGGATAGTGCAGTGTGTGAGTATTGTGTTGTTACTTTCCTCTGCATTTTCCTCGTCGTCGTCTGTTTGAGAGGAGGAGTTTGTGAACTATTCTTCGAGCATGTCTGCGAAGAATTCCGCCTTAGCTTGGTCGAAGAAAAGGTAAGTTTTCCTTCCGCGTTTTCAGGTCCTCGAATGGCTGTGTTTGTGTTTGGTACGAACCTAATGGCTTTTTGAAGTTTGAAAAGGCCGTTTCGTGAGTGATCGGTTCCGATCTCTCTCATGCGCTTTTGCCACTTAGTTGCGTGATGATTTGTGTGTGCCGCTTTTAGGCGGTTTTCGCACTCTAGCAAACTGTGTTTTGAATGCAGGGAATCTGAACTGTTGCCAGAGCCGTCTAGCCTTGTGTTTTTCGCGCAGAAGTTTCTCTACGTCCGGTGGAAGGGTAATTAATCCTTCCTCAGACGGATGCCAAAATACAGGTTTTGCCTTGCTGTGAGTCGCCTGTAGTTGTTTAGTGAGTGTTTGTATCCGTGCATGAATAGATTCTTTCGAGTCTATGATTTGTGGAGAAGTTGTGTGTGATGTGGCGAGTAATGAGCAGAACTCGTTTCAATTTGTGGGTTGTGGGACCCACTGCTTGGGACTGCTGAAGGAGCGTATGCTGCCTACAGCGAAGGTGATAGGAATGTGATCAGATAGGGAAAAGGGAATTGGTTTTTGGCGTTGTTACCCGATGTTTCCGGCCGTGACCGCCACGTCTAGGATTTCGGGTCTTTCCCTGGGGTTTTTTGGAAAACGAGTAGGGGTAGAAAGTGGGACAATATTCACTGAGTGATGTGATAACAGAAAGCTTACAAGTATTGTTCCGTTCCTGCTAGTGGTGTTGCATCCTCATTCTTCGCACTTGGCGTTCAGGTCGCCCGCCAGGACCGTGCGAGGTGCTAGGGAGAGCACTGTGTCAAAGTCTTCCTCCATAAGAGGTCTGTTTGGTGCGAGGTATGCAGATACTAGAGCTACTTTGCCCTCCGTCGAGTTTCCCACGATTGCTTCAGCTTCGAGGCGCGCCAGGCGGGGGAAGGTTGCTAATCGGTGGGGTATTGAGCGGCGTATGGCAATCGCTACGCCGCCCCTGCGATGACTACCGTCGCGGTCGGTACGGTATATTGCCATGTCGCGCAGCTCCATATGATTTGGACTTTTGAGTTTAGTTTCCTGCAGTATCAGAACGTCAATGCGGTTTGTTGCAGAAAAGCTCCATTTAACGTTTTTTTTGCTGCCGGAGTGTCTATTAATGTTCCAGGCGGCCACAGCTAGGGGGCAGGTGTTTGTGTTTCTCTCATTTAGTTGTTCAGACATTTTGGTTGAACACTTGTTGGCAGAGGGTCTAGAGGAGTGTGGTGAGTGAGCGACCTGTTGCGTTAGTTTAGCGACCTCCTTTCGGAGTTCCGCTTCAGAGGAAGTAACAGGCGTTACTGGTGTTGTCTGAGTGGCTTGGGACGCGCTGGGCGCACGGTTCGCTCTCTCCTTAATTCCCTTTCGGGCTGTAGAGATGGCTTCTTCCCGTTCCGCTCGCCTTGCCTGTGCAGAGTGGTTTGTCTTAGCCACTGCTGAGAAGGTGACGTTTTTGTCAACTATGCGTGCAGGTGGCCTCGACTTGGTGTTTTTATTGTTGTTTGGTGTGTTTTGTGTTTTCGCTGCAGTTTTCCTCGCCTTGCAGCCGCCGTAGTTTGCAGAGTGGTTGCTCTGGCAAAACGCTAGTGAACTGCGTTTCCCGCAGGACTCTGTCAAATGGCCTTCGCCGCAGTGCATGCACCGCGGTTTCACCTGACAGTAGGTCCGGGTACGCGACCATCTGCAGCATCGTTTGCAGAAGGGACCGTTATCTGTCTGCCTGGCAATTTCAACGTGCGCAGCACAGTTGCATATTACTCTCCGGGCAAAGACCCACTTGCCGTCGTCACCCGGGGGGAGGTTGACAAAGTAGGTGCCTAATGGAATGAGAAGTCCGTTCCGGCGCCTTTGGAGCTGGTGGACAGCGGGCCGAGGTTTTCCCGCTCGGGCTAAGTCGTCCGCCACTTCTTCCGCCGTTATTTGGGGCGAGGGGCCTCTCACATAGTGTTTGAGTCCCCTCTGATCCTTTCGGGCGTGGGTGAAGTGGCCCAGCTTGCGTGACTTTAAGTTCGCGGAGATTTTTACGCGATCTTCCGCGTTCCGCGCTTGAAGGGAGAAAATCTCCGGCGAAATACGGCGAAGCCGCCTTCGGAGGGCACCGCCTCGGTCTCCACCATGACGGGTGGGACGCGTTTCGATGCCTTCTTGGGTACAGAGGTGGTGCGAGCATTTACGCGTGGAGACGAGGGTGGCAGTGGGACACAGCCTGGGGCGGCGATCGCACCCCCGCGGGGCATCCGAGTCGCCATTGCTGGCTACTGGGATTACCGACGCGCCGGGCTGCGCTGTCCACCTGCATCTCGGTCTCGCCGACCGCTGGCAGCGCGAGAGAGCTTGTGGGCGGTTTCTGAGTGGAAGGTACCTTTCCGTCTGCGGCGTTCGGCTCATTGCCCAAGAGACGGCGCTTTTTGCCTTTGCCGGTAGTTGGTGAGGCGGTACGCCACGGCAAGGGTTCCGCTTTAGCGCAGAGAGCGTAGTATTCCCTGATGCCGCTTTTGTCCGGCGCCTTCGAGAGAGCCTGCCTATCGTCAGGTGTCAGGCGGGAGGCAAACAGCGAAAATAGGTCCAGTGGGAGGTCAAAAATACACCCGTCAGAATCGGCTCACATCAGAGCCCTTAGTGCATTTGCGATGCGAGTAGGATTGGACACCGTTGACGATTTCCCTTTCTTCCCCCCCGTGTCCAGAGTTTGATTCGCGAGGGAGCATTCCCCGGGACGTCGAAACGCTGTAGGGTTCCCGCAGCGAATTGACAGGAGGGATTTCTCCTTGCGAGGTAGTAGGTTCGGCGGCTTGATATTGTACCAAAATTACAATTCTATTTTTGGCTATAAAATGTCACCAAAAATAAAGGCTGGTATGATTTATATCAAATTATAATTTTTTTATAATCATTGATTTAAGTTATTTTTTCAAATATTACAAATAATAAATATTAAGTTTTAGAGATGACTTAAATCAATTACACAGTTTATACAAAGAATATATTTCTTATACACTTTTTCACATAATCGAAGAATTTCAAGAAAAAAAAATACAATGTAATATACTTTAAAATGAACATGCTTGTGAAATGAACAATAAAAATTTGTAGCAGTTCTTTACTAATGGACTTGGATGATATAATACTTTTTGTCCAGCATTTCATTGTCTAGATAATGACAAATTTAGGAACAATACACACACCGAGCTAGTTTAAGGAAAAATGCGTTAAATCTTCAAGCATATTTATAATTCTAGATTTGGAGTAAAATGTTTGCTAATGCCACATAAAGTATAACATCTTAGAGAAGATGAGCATTAATAAAAATGGAATTTTATTGATACTCACTTGAGAAAAATATTAATATTGTAAAACTAATAAAAACGGTATTTAATCTTACTAATTTTAATAATATTACCCTTTTTCCTTGTGTATATTGATAAAATACCATTTAAGTGGGAAGGAACAGGACAACTATTAAATAAAAATAGAATTTAATATTTCAAAAACTGTCTAAATATTGTTTTAAGTTTTTTTATGAAATAAGTTGTTTTTAACAGTAAGAGTTTTTTTGATTCAGGTAATATTACAGAAAAGATGGTAAAATTATTTTGGGCAAAGAATGCCTTTTTTGTGACCCATGCTAACAGATGTTGCTACAAGCCTATTCGATATCGTGAACACATGAGAAGTGATGAAACTATAAGTACTCACATTTAAATATTTTGTGGGTTAGGGCGGTATTGCACCAGACCCCTCGAATGTATAGTATCTATGTGAGAGAAAAAAAAACTAAAACAAACAATAAGGAAATGATCAATTTAAAACTTCATTTTTTCTGCTTTTAAAGTAATTAAGGATAAATAAATCACTTTAAAATTTTGGTTTTAAATAAACACATCTAAAACAATATTTAAAAATATTATTTAAACCAAGTTAATCTGAATCATAAGAAAAGCAGATAATACTCTTGAATAATCTCTACACGCACCACAATTTATCCGCACAACCTTACTTTGAAAAAGTGCGCCAAAACGCAACAGCTGCGCTACCTGCACCAGGTCCGGGACTGAGGAAACAAACGTAGTTCCCCGCCTGTTAACATTGAGTGAACCAGCCCTGTTCTTAGATCAAGTAGATCACCCTACTCAAAGAGTAAACCCTACTGGAGTTAAACTGGTGGCTTGTGTGCCTTGATAAGCTGATCCACGTGGTAGTGGTCATCAGATGCGATCAGATGACAGTGTTGAGAATGGTGTAGTGTTGTCAACAAGAAAAACATTTTCTGACAATATCGAATGGAAAGACAGTGAAAGAGCAATACATTTTTGATTTCTCATATAGTGGAGTTCTCGTATATTAATAATCATGGTTCAGCGAAGTAAAATTTTTGAAAGGAACAGAGCTCTTGGTTTTGTTAGCAGCCATGTACCTTGTGTGGTGAGGTACATCAAAATGCGAAATGAAAATCTTGTAGCCACAGTTGTGGGAAGATGTTTTCATACGTATGGTTGCAACAGGTTTTCTGTGTTGAGTGTCAGTGGACTTCATCCTGCGGATATAACATGTTTAGCAGCAGACACTTTCCATATATATACATGTTGCGATACAGAAATTTATGCCTGGAGACGTGGTACAGAACTAAAGCACACATACAAAGGCCACTTAAAGCCAGTTCATATTATCTTACCTTTAGGAGCATTTCTTCTTTCTGTTGATGAGGATAGTGTTCTAAAGCTTTGGGATGTAAAGTCTGAGGAGGAGTTATTAGAATATCCTTTCTCAAATGATACTTTTCAAATAAGTGCAGTAATCCATCCTGCTACGTACCTTAACAAAGTTTTGCTCGGAAGTAAGCAAGGAACATTGCAATTATTAAACATTCACACATCTAAGCTAATTCACACTTTCCGTGGGTGGAATTGTGAAGTAACTGTCCTTCAACAAGCACCTGCTGTTGATGTTATTGCAGTTGGTCTAGCAAATGGAAGAATCATCTTGCACAATATTAAGTACGATCAAACTGTGATGATGTTAATACAAGATTGGGGCACTGTTACCAGTATTTCGTTCAGATCTGATGGACCTGCTATGATGTTATCTGGGAGTTTGTCAGGACACATTGTCCTTTGGGACTTGGAAGAAAGAAAGCCATTAACTCAACTGGTATCTGCACACAGTGGTGCTGTTGCTGGAATGAAATGTTTAGCAAACGAACCTTTGATGGTGACTTCATCTCCAGACAACACTTTAAAAATGTGGATTTTTGATATGCCAGATGGAGGTGCCAGGCTTCTTCGAATTAGAGAAGGACATTCTAGTCCTCCAACGTTTATCAGATACCATGGAAATAATGGTCATAATATAGTGAGTGCTGGAAGTGACTCATCAATGAGAATATTTTCAACTTTAACTGAAACATTTAATAAGAGTTTAGGAAAGGCAAGATACAAACGTAATAAAAAAATTAAAAAGAGTACCCTCTTGGATGATGAGAACCCTTGCATGCCACCAGTTGTTTTTTTTGCCTCAGAGACTACTCGTGAGAAAGAGTGGGATGATATTGCTGCAATACACCTTGGGATGGGTGTTGTCACAACTTGGTCATATGGAAAGGTGAAAATGGGTGATTTGAAATTAATTCCTGATCATCTGAAACCAAAAACTTTCCAATCAGCAAATCAGATTAGTGCTACGTGCCTTACATTGACAAGTTGTGGCAATTTTGTTGTGATAGGGTACAATACTGGTGACTTACATAAGTTTAATATACAATCTGGACTGCATCGAGGAGCATATGGTAGCCCCACTGCTCATAAAGGTCCAGTTCGTGGTGTGGGAAGTGATAGTTTGAATCAAGTTGTGGTTAGTGGTGGCCATGACTGTTGTATAAAGTTTTGGTCATTTAAAGTTGCAGGTGAGATGTAAATTGTGTACAGTTTTGATTTCTTTTAATATATACTACATATAATTGTTATTTACGTCAACACTTCTTTACATTGTGATATAACTGTCACAAAATGTTTAATGCATCTTTTCTTAAGGTTATTTGTATTTCCAGTTGCTCTTCCTCACATTTAATAGATTAAATGTGAATGTCTTTCTCTTATGAGTTATTTGATTTATTCTTGTCTATATGCACAAATCCAACTGACGTACATTCTCCATCCTTCTCAGAGTAAATATTTTTTTTGGGAGCTGCTGTTAGAAAGCATAAAAAAGAGGCCCCTTGTTGACAGGTATCATGGGAGAAACAAAATTTTTATGGAAATAATGGAAAACTAGCTTTAAATGGGCAACTTCATAAATAGACTGACGAATAGTGTAAAGAAGGCAGTTTAATGCATACCTTGGCAGGGTCTTAACACAAATGGGGAGGAATCAGAACAATCAACATGCACAAAAATGTCACTAACTAAATTATAATCTTAAATATGACACAAGTAAAGAACATACTTTTTTAAAGTTTCTATATTAATCATATTTTTCCTTCAAAATACTGCAGTCAAATAAATCTCAATGGGGTGGTGTGGATTGTCATACTGTGAATATCAGGGATGTTTTTGTTATATTTATAAGTAGATGTATATTTTTTTTAAGAGATCATATTGTGCCGTCAGGTTCTTCACAAACTTTTAAATCAGGCAGTGCCAGTGGATCAGAGAGCCATTTTCAGTTCTGGAGAGAAGACTATACATTATCATGGTCTTCAGCATTGTAATAATCGTGTTTTAAGAATTTTTGTCACTTCATTGATGAGGAGCAAATTGTACCTATTACAATGTCTTCATAATTTAGTTCAAATTAATCCATTTTGAAGGTGTTCAATGACACCTTATAGTTAAAGGTCATTACCATATTGTAAACACACCTGTTACACACCTGCTAAACCTAAAGAAAGTGGAGGGATTTGCCTGAAGCTCTTAGTTTTTTAGTACAAAAATTCTATTTAAAAAGTGGTATTATAAAAAAAGTATTAAGTTGGAATCGTTAGAAAGAAAATTAAATTTTCTTTCTAAGAGTTTAATTCTTTAATTCTAATTTAATTCTATCTCATAATTTAAGGAAGTCATTTAAACCGTTCGCGCCACTCCGGCGATGGCTGTAATTTACTGGTTTGTCAACTGAGATAAGAGCCATTGCAGTTACAGTAACTTAGTGTCAAAACATTAAAATTGTAAAATTTCATTTTTTCTGATTAGTACATTTGCAGGATTTTATATTTCACTAGTGCTACCTAGAAATGGAAATACAAATTAAAAACTAAGAAAACAATTAATTTCTAGATTATTTCTTCTTTTCTTTTAACTGTAACCATGGTCTTTGGTATTATATAATCAAGAATAAGTGCAGAATATCTCTTATCTAAATCTGTTTGTTTCAGGTTCTGAAGTTTTATCGCAGCTGGTCTTGGATGAACCAGTTTTGTTTTTTCATGTTCACCGAGAGAGTTCTCTGTTGGCCATTGCTTTAGAAGACTATAATGTGCTTGTGATGGATTTAGACACTCGTTTAGTGATTCGAAAATTTGAAGCTCACATGTCCCAGTTGACAGACATGGCATTCAGTCCTGATGCTCATTGGCTCGTCACTGCATCATTGGATTGCACCATTCGCACATGGGACATTCCTTCTGCACATCTTGTTGATGTATTTCAGGTTTGTATTTTGTGGTCTTTTGTAAAAACTGTTTTGTTAAATATATATCTGAAGACATAGATATTAAAATAATAGGTCATTTAATAGTGTAAAGTATTATAATAATTTAATAAGGTGTGAAAACAAATGTGAAACAGATAGGTTTATTTGTGGGGACTCTTAACATAAAGCACCTGGGTCATTTCAATTTTTTTTTATTAATTTGCTCAAATTTATAATTGAAAATGGAGATTATAATCAAATTGCAAAAATAGTACAGGTGCAGTTTTATGTAAAACCTAAGAAATTTCGAAAATCACAAAAATAAAATAGTTTGTGACCCTCCTTTAATTAAATTTGAAGAGATTTTGTTTCTTAAAGATATTTGTCTTCTTAAAGATATTTGTCTTAAAATGTTATATTTAAATAATAACATGTACTGTATTTTCAAAATATCAGTAGTCTCTAATTTGAGTGGCATTGTCTACGATTACGCAGTAAAAATAGTTCCAATTTGCAGAAAAAATTCTGAGGTTTGGACAGAAAGAATGTTCTTTAAGTCCCTGATATGTTGAAAAGGTGGGTTTTTCTTGCCCCTTTATGTAGTAAATTATTTTCTGAAATAAGTGGTGTAGACACAATCCACGATTTGATGGACCTGGATACCCAAAAAGTTTTCTCCCGGTGACTTATTTGTGATCAATCCTAGCTCCTAAATCATATACAAGAGTTTCACCAAATTTGATATTCTCTGGTCAATCTGGCTGATGAAGTGGGTTTTCAAATTTGATTCAGATATTTTAATTTTGGGGGTTCATTATACATGAAGCTCCTTAAGACATTTTCAAAATTTTCTCAATTGCAGCTTTAAACTTATTTCTTTAATTTTTTTGCGGGAATAGGGCATAACCTGCTTATATAAATAGCTGAGACTTTATTATTAGTAAAACTAATGATCAGACTAGCCTACTGTCAGCTCCTCTTGGTCTGAAAATACATTTAAAAATTGTCGACAATAATTAGTGAACATGGGTCCCAGTCTTCTACTGACTCTTTTCTATTAATCAATTCACATCTGACGTAGCACTAATGATAATTATATTACTTGGTTGAATTCTCATTATGCATGTAATTCTGGAAATGAATTGATAGCATCAAACATCAAAATTAATTGGGACCATAGGTGGATCAGATTTTTGAACAAACTTAATTTTAGACTGTTAGAAGGCAATTTTAACTATCTAAATGGGAAGATATAAAAATACCAGCTATTGAACTCTCAAATAAGAAAATGTAATAAAAAGAAATTGTACTTGCGTAGTAGATTTATAAAGATGTTATAGATTTTCTCAACAGATATTTCCAATTGATTCCTGTTTCACCTCCATTGTAGACATCATTTTTTGTAATATCTTTGTCTTCAAGTTTTGCAAATGTTTCTGGAGGAGAAACATCGCTAGAAAGACTCCATCCTCGGATATTTAATTCTGATACCATGTCTGGACTTGATTTTTTAGCCAACCTACCTTCGAAACTTTCTGAGCCAACTAACTTTTCATTAAAATCAAAATATTTTTCATAGATCATTGGGGTTGAAACTGGTTCACACACATTAGGCTTTTGTGTTAACAATAAATACACAGTTCTCTAAGTGTGAATCATTTGTTGATCTGTTTTCATATTAGTGATTAAAAGTGTTGTCAAGAAAGTAAATGAGGTGGGGGCAGGGGGCAAAAAGGTTTGTCCAGCTGTGAACAAGATTAATACCTAAATTTTGCACAGAACTTCATTCAAAATAAATACATCACTTCTGATCATTGAACAAGTTCCACTTGATACTCTCCAAATTTGAATAAGTTTTTTCAGTTTCTAAGTGCTCTCAAAAATAGGCCCAGTGTTTTGTGAGTAAATAGTTCTATGTACATTGAATATGGAGGAGCTGTTTTTTAAGTCATTCTGGAATTTTCAAATTTACACATGTTATATATTTTTCAAATGTCTCGTGCATCTTAAATTTTTTAATAAAATGTATAATTACTTTGCAAATAAATTCAGAAATTGTTAAGAGCAGGTGTTTATTTGATATCAGAAGTTATCTTACAGTAATGAAAATTAGACCATTTTGTTCTCTAAATATTGTATTTACATTTTCTTTAGAACACAGATTTTGTGAGGGAATTGTCCATTTCAATGGAGGTAGGTTGTACAAGCTTTGTACAAAAAGTAGTATTTTGTGCGTTCTTGACAAAGCTATGACTTCTTTTTTTTTTAATTTAAATTTTGATAAGCAAATCATTCAGTATAAGTGCAATAATCAGTTTTCAAGATAAAATGTCTGGAAAGTACATGGTACACTAATTTAGCTTTGATAAAGAAAAGAATTGGGAGAGATTCGGTTTAAAGATTAGGAGAGATGGATGAAATAGTACTTTTTATAAAATTATTATAAATGAATGGCTAGTGCACAAAACATTTAATGTTCACTCATGGTCAGTTTTGAGTTAATCTTTTTTTGGAGACGTTTGCCTTTACCTAGTGTGATTGTATTTCTATACAAAAGGTTTCTCGTTTTCTGCTTTTTTAGGTTTTGATATTTTTTGTTTAAGTATGATGTACATTTATAATTAATATAAATTGTTTATTAATTTCTCTCTTTTTTGCTATTAGGTTGATGCTCCATGTACATCTTTAACATTCTCACCTACAGGGGACAGATTAGCCACTACTCATGTGAACTGCCTGGGAGTATTTCTTTGGGCAAACCGATGCGTGTTTGAACACGTTTCTTTATCTCCTGTCCGTGATTTAACGAACATTCCTTTGGTAGCCTTACCTTCTACAGCACAATGTGTAGAACCAAGTGATTACCTTTCTGAAATTGATGATCCTATTGAAAATATGCCTAAAACAAATGAACAGATAAGTGAAGAACTTATAACTCTGTCATCAGTTTCAAGTTCAAGATGGCAGAACCTTTTGAACCTAGACATAGTTTGGAAAAAGAACAAACCCAAAAGTTTATTAAAAAAACCTAAAACTGCTCCATTTTTTTTGCCTACTATACCTTCTCTAGATTTACAATTTGACTTAAAAGCAGAAAACAACGCAAATGAAGAATCTGCAAATGCATTTCAGTTGAAAACTTCAACTACAGGCTTTGCAAAGTTATTATTTGATTCAGTTAGTGGAAGTGATTTTGATAAAGCAATGATAAAACTGAAAGAGTTAAGTTTATCTACTATTAATTTTGAAATTTCCGCTCTGTCTCCTGAAGGTGGTGGTTCTTTGCAAATGATAAGACAATTCATGAAACTAGTTCAATCAGTTCTAAAGACTAACAGAAACTTTGAGTTGATCCAAGCATACTTTGCATTATTTTTGAAGAAACATGGTGATACAATAGCATCAGAAATGGTATTGTGTGATGAACTTCAACTTTTACAAACGGTTCAACTGGACAAATGGAATGTTTTGCAGAACAAATTAATGTCATGTTTATGTGTTGTTGATTCATTGAAATCTATGTAATAACTGGAGACAGAAGAAAATATCAATGATGCTTTTTAACATTGTGATTGTATACTGTTTGGAGTTATTTGAAATTTGGAAATGTTAATGGAACTATGTTCTGTTCAAATTATTTAGTACAATTTCTTTGTTTTCATGATCTGTAACAGTTATTTCTCCTTTCCTCTGTCCTTCCATAGAAAGTGATGTACATAAATTTCTGAATGATTTTAATACACAGAAATGTTTCTGAACTGAGGTGCAGCAAAGAAATTTAAAATGCTGTTTGTGAAGTGGTAAAGAGTGACTAACAAAGAGAATAAGCCAGAAGTTTAAGACCCCTTCTGGAGAAAACTTATTCCCACAAATTATGTTAATAATCTGTACCAAAATTTGATTTTAATATTGTGTCTTTTGGAACCTTTGAAAACTATCTAAAGATACATGCAAATTTACTACCTTTTAAAATAATTTACTTTTAATATAAAAGAAAAGTGTTGTGCTTGTTACCTTCAAAGAAGTTTGAAAATCAATAGTGGTGCGTTTGGGCACGCTGCTTGGATAAAGGATTAATCTTGTATGAGTTAGCGAGTTGGGTCATCTTTGACATTAAACGTTAGTGCATTAAAAAGCTAAATTCTATATCCTTAGAATGTAATTGGAAATATTTGTATCAATGTAAATAAGGGTTTATATTTTGCAGTATAATAAAATTGTCTATGAATTGCAAATTCTCTGAAAACTTAAGAAGAATAAATGGTATTTCCTCAGAAAAGATCAATCTCAAGGCAATTTGATGTTTACATTAGAAATAAAAACTTAAGATGTATATCTATAAAATATAAGATAAACTAGCTGAATCCTTACAATTACATCATACAAAAGGAAGAACTAGAAAATATTTCTTCTGAAAAGTACAATTTATGCTCTATTGAAAATCGAAACTTGCCCAAAATAATGTATCTTGGCAGACACTACTAATGAAATTAGGGAGATTTGCAAATTCTAGAACAATACAATCACTATTCACTGATTATAACATTTCTCTGAGTAAGTAAGTAAGCATATTTACCAATATCTGTTGCATTTTTTGTAGAAATCCTGGCAAACACCAAAATTAAGAAAATTCATGCAACACTTTTAAAATAAGTTCTTTTTTGTGAAGGTGGAGTTATATCCTTTCGGTAGTCAGACAAAATACATTTGAGGAAAAGCTACCATTAAAATATAGTGAAGTTATATTTTTAAATTTTTCCAGAGTTTCAATGATAACACATTTTTATTTTCACTCCTTTTTCTTAACATTGATTTACAACTTAACTTCTGTTATCCAAACATTCTAGTATACACACACTCTTTTACAAAACTAAACAAATTTTAAAAACTTAATTCAGTAAATGCGTGACATTTCAATTTATATAGCAGGTATTGATCAAAAAGTGAATGTGTGTTACACACAACGTGTAAACCTATTTAATTCTGCAAATAAAGTATTATGTACTAGGTTGATAGGTATTTCTTAAGGTCATTGTAAATTATACATTATATTATCAGTACATCTACATTACTTTAAAGGTCCCTTCACAAATGTGTTACATTGATGCATGTAAAATAACACTATCTTTTGCGAAACAGCATGTGTGCACTTTGGCCATTCTACATGTGTTAATCTATGACGTGTTACTTTTCGCTCAGCAAACGAACATCAACCCAATGCTCTTATGACAGGCCTAACACATTTCTTTGTAACTTAATATGTTTGAAGGGAAGAAAAAATTGATTTGGATTATTCAGTTTTCCTTACCACTCATCACCCCAGATAATGGAGGTTCACCCCAGATAATGGAGGTTCTCTGCTCACTATTCACTGTTGTAAAAGATTTCCTCACTGAGCATGCAAAGACATTCTGTCAAAACTTCTAATCCGGTCAGAATTGTGTTTCAGTACACATGAGGCACACAATGTTTTTATTCTCTCGATTAGTCATTACTTGCACATCCGTTTCCCTTGAAACATTTCTTCCCACTCTTCAACAGTTTGCTGCACAAAAAATTTAGATAAGAGAAAATTGTCCTGTATAACGAGAGGAAAGGATCACATCTTCGTTAAAAGTAACTTCTGTACATTGAGTGGTAAAATTGATAAGATGTTGAATTGCAACTACACAAAAAAAACCTGAATGAATGAATGAAAAAAATGACTAGGCCTTCATAAATAACAAACACTCTTCCTTTAGAAAAACTATCTTCCAATGAGTCAGTATTCAGTGCATTACATTAATGGTATATGAAAAAAGGCCTCATTTTCATATGATAACGAAGGGGGAAAAGCAGTTATATTTCACACAAGACTACTTATCAGTAAGTACAAAACATTTTACGTTGTACAATTGAAAGGTTGAGTGCAACAGTGGTCCAACCCGCCATTAGAATCAGAGATATTGTACATCAAAGTTGACATGCTCCAGTTTTTCACGTTTTTTGTTTGTTCACGTCCATTTTGTTTTAATCACTACTTTCTCTGAATGTTAGTATTCTTTTCCATACAAGAAAAAAGATCATAAGACGAGGTGAAAATGGTAAAATTAATTGCTTGACCCAAAATTGGTTAGACCAGTGTTGCAAAAAACTCCGACATTGATAACCAAAAACACATTTTTAATGTTGGAACAAAATAAAAATAATACTAGAAATTTACAGAAATGTACATTTACTACTTTAATATTACAGAAATTAAAAAATATGATATTTGCACGAAATTATTGAAAATAAATGTTATAAAAAGTATTGTTTGAACATAAGCAGTTTGACGCACATCATGACAATGTTAGAATATATAAGAAATAAATATTAAGAAAAAAATAAAATTAATTATCACAATATTGTGATTATACATAAACAGGTATGTCAAAGAAATAACCATCTTTGTAGTCATGATCTTCCTGATCAGTTTCAGATGAGAAACTAGAAGAAATCGTGAAATACAGCTGGTACATATTTTAAAAGTTCTTTGATATCTTTCTATTAACTGACTAGAGATTTGTATTTTACAGGAAGATTAATTTGTGCACGTATGTTTCTCTCTATGTATTTTGCCCTTAGTGACATTTACTGATCTGTAACTCTCTTCTTCTGACAGTAAATGTTAAAAGAAGTATTTCCGTGGATGATCCTTAGTAAGTTTCAAAAAAATTTTACTAAAATTCACTGCAACCTCATCTAGTTCAGTGACTTGGTTATTTGTGCTCTTGACTTGATAGACCAGTTCTATTTGAGTTAGACCTCTGTTGCATTAGAATTTGTTACGATTACTCAGCGATCAAAAACTGGCTGTGCTGTTAACACTCAAATACTTATTATATTCAATATTCATTGGTTCCTCTACGTAGTTCATGGTTAATGAAAACAGATTGCGTAGTTAACTCAATTTCAACATGAGGGAGAGTTAGACCACTGTTGCGCTCAGCCTTTCAATTGTGAATAAATGACGAAATAAAACAGAAATTTATATATTGTAATATCCATTATTAAACCACAGGGACAAAACCTCCTTCAAAAAAAGTCCCAATTTATTTGTTACAACAGTATTTATTTTCATGTACAAATAATTACAAAATTACTTTTCAATATATGTTTATATTACACACTAGCAATTTTATAACTAGCTAATTCTCTCCTTAACCATAAACACAACATTCTCTTGTTTGTTCAAAGCACTGGTCTTGTCGGTACATTAATGATCAATGTGGGGCAGTGGGCAACTAGGTTTCATTCCTGGTTGGGGGTGACTATATAGCTTTGAACAATTTGAAAACTCCTGTTATTCTCAAGATTAATACACATGTCATTCTAGCAACATGGTCTGTTATGCCTTGCTCCAGCAAACCTCATTTATAAGGGAGCAACAGAGTGGTTTACAGTTCTTGAACGGGGTACATGGGAGTAAATAACACGTAAATTGTTATCTCTGTAAAATTCATTACTCTGCCGCCATTCCCAACGTTGTTCTTGTCGCAACCGCCGCCGTCTATCAACATAACTTACAACACAACTGGCAGGCATCCATATCAGAGCAGTCACCAAGATAACGGTTCCAACTATATTGTCTTTCAAGAACAATAATACTTTGTTAATGTTGATGTCTTCAATTATATCCCAAAATCTTTCTACAACATCTTGTATTGTCTTCTCACACAAGCCCTACAAACAATACAGATCGTAGCTTCATAAGCATTTGCATTTGGTACAGGATACAATACCTCCTATTATACATTCTTGTTTGATAAAATATGTAAATAAATGCATTGAAATGTAATTTTTGTCATGTAGAAACAAATTTTTGACATTCTCCAAAAAGAAATCTTGAAAGGTAGAACAAAAAGTATCCTTTCTTAAATATCTCAGGAATAGGATTACAATACAGATATATCTTCCCTAGCAATAAATTTGCAATAAGCAATCTTAGGTTATATAAATAACTGTCTTTATCGATGGTTCCCCCACCTTGACCACTTGGTTAAATGGATCCCAATAAACAAAGAAAGACAAATTTTCCAAATCCCAAAAAACAAAAAGAAAAAACGTTATTTTAAAGTTCTTAATCTTGAGCATTCAGCCATAAAATATAAAATTACCTTATTGCAAAAACCTTGGATACAAGGCGTTCCATCAGGTAAAATATCTTGGGGATCAACAGGGAAACAAGTGTCATTCAAATTCATCCGGCAGCACCGCTTACAAGCATCACCAACTGTATCAAAAAGAAAGAAAATAGATTTACCAACGTACTAATTTTGTTATATATTATTGTTAAAAAAACACTGTTTTTGGCATCCCATAAATTACAATTCTTGCCAAATTTGATTGAATAAGCATATGCAGGTAAAAAATCAAAATCAAACCAATAGACTGCAATTTTTTTATAAGGAAAAAATTAAGTTTATCACATTAACCAAACTTAATAAAGAAAACAATTTTCATATTTTTTAAGAGTGCTCCCAAAAATATATTATGCGGAGGAAAAATGTATCTTGACACAGAATACTTAATACATCAAATGAAATAATATAAAAATAATGAAGTCTACTCTTACAAACTTTTAATTTACCTCTTTCAGTAATTTATAACGAGGTCACCTCTAGAAAAAATTTAAGATCAGACCCCTGAATAAGAAAAATCCAACACAAACATTTTTGACTCTCCAACCTGTATGGAAATCATATTTCACTACTTACTGGTGTCACACATGCAGCTCTGAAGTCCTTGTGTTTCACAATATGGTACACATTTACCCCTCCGGCACTGGCCACGTTCCAGACAGCCTGTTCCATCATTCATGGGTGGGCTACGAGGACATTCAGATGACGCTCCAGTGCAACGTGATTCTTGTTCACATGTGGCATACTGAGCATCACGACATTTTACACCAACAGGCATATACTGACAGTTTTGGCAGCAGGGAGAGTTTTTATCACTGAAAAAATTGCATTAATTTGTAATTGCAAATCAAATGAAATAATTTTTTTCCTTCAAATAATTGTATTTATTAAAAAACAATATCTGCAGAAATGTAAAAGTAGGTTTTCCAATTAACTGTCCTTAAAGTACTGTAATATTAAATTAAAGTGAGTTATTTTACAGATCTATTACTTTTTTCAAAGCAACTTTTAAAACTCTTTAGTAGCATTCTCTGTACCTGCAAACTGCTCCTTGGTTACGACGTAGTTTGCAATTTTTATCACAACAAGCATCATTGTCTTCCGTTCCCAGCAATCCCGCATCACATTCTTCATCCCCTTCCACTCTGAGATTGCCACAGAAAGATTCTTCTGGTTCTGAAAAGCACCGACCAGACTTTGCTTGCAGTACTTTACGAATTGAACGTAAACTGCATGGTGAGAACCTCTGTGGATCATGAAAAATGTTTCTTAGTAAATTTAGTGAATACTTGGAAAGTTATTGTAAATTGAAAATAAATAAACTACATTAACAATACCTTATTATTAACATCATAGCCACTGACACTATATGTATACATCAAATAAGATCCTCCTTGACTTGCACTTGGACTGCATTCAGGTATGTCAGGATCGTGTTCTGAACCCCAATTGTGGCCAAACTCATGTGCAGTGACCAAGTCAGCTTCACGAGTGATAACTCGTTGTCCATAATGGTTGCGACTGGAGCTCAATCCGGAGTTCAAATACAGTGTATATCCATTTTTGAAATACTCTGTACAAAATATTGATGTTGAAAGATTTGAAGGTAATGAAATATAAATATTTCTGTAGTTCTAAGGCAGAAGAACCCCAAATGTCAGAAACTATTTTTCAGGAGATTCTTTTCAAAGTTAATGTTTTTGCAGTAATTAATAATTTATTTCCAATAACATGGCAAGTCCATTTGTTCCTCCACTAAGACCCTCTTTCTGGTAGAACCCTGCAAATTATCACTGGATAACAAAAATCAAATACTAAAATGTTGTCTTTTTGACATATTTTGTTCTGCTTTACTACCACAGATCTATATCAATAATATGTTATAATATTATATCAACCGATATCAATGTTTTTAAATAAAATTACCGAGTAAAAGTAAACAATAATTAAATCATTAAAATTATTCTACAACAATAAATATTGTATTTTTAACTTTCTTTTCCAGACAATCCAAAATGATACAATTCATGTAACAAATCAGCACATACTTTTTTATAGTACAAAAAACAACTGTATAAAATTGAATGAAAAAAATGAAGAGTACTGAATGATACACATTTCCATACCTTCAACACTTTATAATACAATAACTTGACAGAAAACTAACATACGTGAATTACAAAAGACTATGAAAAAATTTCTAAAGAATTTTACAATACATTCAAAAGGAAAATTAGTTTTATGAAGAAAATTTTGATAGTAATAAATTCTCATCAAAACAGTTTCATTCAATAAAAGACATTTTGTCAGAGATGGGATTTTACTCACACTAGCGGAGCTGAAACTTGAAGCACTGAATAATAGTCAAATTGGAAAAATATTTATTCATGCAATTTTATACCACAGAAAAGGTACAAACAAAGAGTTGTCTTCGTTCAAAGAGAACAGAAATCATTTCCTTCATGCAATCATGCATATAACAGGCTCAAAAAGTGCATAATCATGCAAAGTTACAATATCTTGACATTTTTCAATCTTCATTCTACAGAACAAATTTACAATGATAATTATATTCATATTAAGTTCCATTCACATAAGAAAGAAAAAAATTATTAATATGGGTATAAGCCTTTTTTGGGAGTTTACTAGTTGAAAGGTGAAAAAACATTAATAAAGTTTTCAAATGCTTTCCATTTCTAACCTGGTGTGCAAATTCCTCCAACAGAATTGCGACGGGGAGACCCAACATAGGCCAATCCTAGGATGCCACCTTCAAATTTGAGATCAGTGAAAAGGTGAGCCAAGCAGAAATCCTTGTGACTATATTCTCGGCTGAATACCTAATCGCCAAAAAAATAAAATAATAAATTCCCGACCAAAATTAACCATTGGCTCAACCTAAGAGTAAGTAAAGTAAATTAATGTGTAAAGCAGGAAATAAAATACTTATTGAGATGATACATTCTTTGCCAAACTTTGCACAAAAATATGCAACATATTTATTGTGTAAATAACATGAAAGAAGTAGTGTTTTTCGTTCTTAAAAACTTCACTTTAACATTCTTACTTCCATTTCACATCACCAAACCATGTCCTATTCAGCTTATTATACTACGCTCTCTCTGTTCTAGCTATTTCTTGGATAACAATTTTTCAGAAAAACCAGAATCCCTTCCCTTCTCTACACAAAATGCTAGGGACAAATGATAATTTTGTACAATTTATAGGACACTATTGTCACAAACAAAACCCCATAAATACGCCACTACTGGATAGGGAATTCCCCCCCCCCCCCCCGGGATGCATCACTCAGAATGAAGACAAAAAAATGAAGAAACTGTCGATGCTGTGAAAAAGTTGGTAGGCGCACATGGAACCTGAGGAATTGGCGAAAATTGCTCACTAGCAAGTCAAGCCCTTCTTAAGGTCGGGATCCAACATCCTTCTTGAAGAAAAACAGATTATCACAGATATGAATTACAAACAATAATTTCAAACACCACCATCTTTCACCAGTAGAGAATTGTGTGTACTAAAACACAGCAAACTTGTTCATATTATTTTTTATATACAGCTAATAAAAAAGTTTTTTTCTATTTAAGATATTACTTTTTTCTAATTAGAAAGTGGCCTACATAAAATATAGTTGTAGCACTGCATACACATCTTGTAATACAGGTTACACAAAACTCTCAAAGTTCTTAGAATAATATCTTGATATCTATATAAATGAATTTGGAAGGTTTCTGTCTGCAATTAATTGCAGTTTTATAATCACATATATTTATTTATGTGATATAAAAACCAATTCAATTGCTTTTATGATTTTTGCCTGCCTGCTAATCTGCTTGTTTGTCTGAGGGAACCACCTTAGGAGATTGGCTTAACTGACTTTAATAGGGTTTTCACTGAAATGTAGAGTATTTTAGTAGGACTAAATTAGACTACATTTTTCAAATTATTATTTTCTATTTTATAAAGAACAATGATTGTTTTTGAAGCAAAACTTTGTTCTGATAATTACATTTTATAAACATGACCATCAAAAGAATAGTATATTTATGTATATGAATGGGTTAAAACCAGAATGGTATAAGTAACATTTTATATATTCAGAGAAATTCGTTTATTTCAGTCAATATTACTGTAAAGTTGTGATGCTTTGTTTCATCATTAAAACCACAGCATTTCAATTGTTCACTAAAACCACGAAAATAGTTTGCAACTGAAATATATCCTAAAATAAATGTTTTTCTCAGAATTTATAAAATGTCACTTATATTATTCTAGTTTTCACCCATTTGTATAATAAATCATACAAATATACCCATCTTCCTTTCTTATCCCTTGCAGAAAAATTTAAGTGTGGACTCTTTCAGTTATTTGCAAATAGCTCAAGAGAGTAAATCTACCTAAGGTAATATGTTTCTGAAAGCCCATAAAAGTTCCTACTTAATGCATTTTAATTCATTTCAATGGTACAATTAGGCTTTGAGTAATGTAAGATAAAAATTGTGAGTGAATATGCAAAGATGCATCTGCTTACAGCTACCTACAGCAACACTGATTGTAGCAAAGAAAAGTAGGGTGGCACAGGGCAAAAGGAGGAGGGACTGGGTGATCCTAGATGGAAGGAATGAGTCAGAATGAGATCACACAGGGCAGAGCAGGATGGGGTCAAATATAGCTGGGATACATCATACACAGAATTTATTATTTTTCCTGTATAATAAATGATTGTACTGGTTGCTACAGCTTAGCTTGTCTTGAATAAAAAACTGGTATTTGAACATGTACCTCAAAAAAGATTCAATAATTTTATGTAGTAATTCTGTAACATCTCAATCATCAATGTCATAATTTTGAAATGTTAATTTTTTGTTTGCAATTTTCAGAAATATAGTGAGTTGGCAAAAAACTAGGACTTGCGCAATTTCTTTGAAGAACATTAAGGAAGAAAATCTCTTCTTCATTATTATTAGTTGTAGAAGACCCCAAAAACATTTTGAACTTTTGCAATTTTCAAAAATTGAGAGATTTCAATGAAAATGGAACCTGCTCTTTTTTTAAGTGTCCTTTGCTATGACAATTACAAAAATTTGGGGCCACTTTTGAGAGAATTTTGAAGTTCCTGTAAATTATTTTTAATAATAATTCATGGAAAGTATAGAATACAATTCAATTGAATGATATAAATTCATAAATATTCATAAACATAGGAAGAATATTCATAAACTGAATTTAATTCATGTAAAGTAAGCTCCAAAATCCAATTATGCATAACAAACTCAGCAAGCCCTCGAGTTCTTCTACAACATCTATCATGGAATAACTATTTTGAAGAAAATCACCTGTATGGTTTTGGCACAAGCATCTAATACAGAGAAATGAATGTTTTGTTGCCAAAAGATTTTACTGTATCAAGGACCCACAAAACGTGGATTCTACATGTGTAAGAGGAAGTACTATATGAAGAAACAAAATTAATACACTTTTTCAATACACTTCTATGGGTTTTTATACCATACAAGCCATATGAGCTTACAAATATAGTTATTTTCAAATTGCAGATACTTTCAAATTGCTTTTATTAATAAAGATGACACAATGATTGCATATGATTACTTGCATAATTATAATTATATCACAAGTAATTACATTAAATTCTTGACCTTCAGTGTTAATGAAAGAATAATCTTCTGATTGAGTAAAAGATAATAGAACAGAAAAATATCAAACATGTTCCAAGAAACTCCTTTCTAACTGCAGATATTTAATCAACTTAATAAAAAATAAAAAAAGACATTATAAAAATATGTAGCAAAATAAAATAAAAGTTTATGTTGAGGTACTGTTAGTTATCACGTTATCTAAAACAATTTATATTCACACTGATTTTATGAACATCTTTCACAATACTCAAAACTTTGCACATTTAACAAATTTCTGTCGCTTTCTTATGAATGTCTGTTGTTGCTTTCTTGCAAAAATCCCATTCTTTATCATCAGTATTTAATTTCACGAAATAATACTTTTTGTAGCAAATATGATTTTCCCTGTCAATTAATTTAACTCTGTGATACCTCTATTTCTTTTCCTGGCTATATTCTAAACTCCCTAATTTCTTCACAATTCCCAGATTCTGATTCTTCTCTGATAGCCATCCTACATCTATTATAATATAACTTCCTTTTCTACATTTACTTTACTGCAAAGTGCAATGTATACAAACAAGGAAATTCATGATTTTTCAGCTAGCCATAATTCCAAATGTGCATTACAACAGTACATTTAGTTTATGTACAAATGTACATTTAGTTTATGTCGAATGTGCACATCTTCTAGGAGACAAATTGTTCAGTTGAGAAATTTATAACTAATTTTGAAGATGACCCCATTAATTTGTCATAGCTTACCTCAAGTAAATTACGAACATCCCATTTTTCCCTGACCATGTTATAATGGGCCTCCCCACCACGGACACGTGTCGGCTCACTGTGGACAACAATTTTCTTTATTACAAAGCCCATACCCTTGAAGCCATCTTGTTCTTGACGGTCTTGCCAAATGGTATCATTGTATATCTTATGAACTCGATCAATCAAGCTGATCTGAAAAGAAATCAATGAAAGTCTTGAAGATAATGATTCTTAATGCATTTATATAAGCATACAAATTTGATTATTATACAATTATATAAGCATTAAAATGAAAGTTGGTACATCTTCAATATATTTCATTTGAGAAATAGCAAATGAAAAACAGCAAGAAAAGAAACAAAAATTAATTTTACTTTGTATGCAAAAAAAAATTTTTAATTTTGTATTTCTCCATCTATAAACTATTTCTTTTTCTACATTATATTTACCATCAATCAAATATTTACCTCTTACCATCACCAAACTTAGAAAGAATGACAAAAATAAACGTTTACATAAGATTTATTACCTCCAAAAATTAAGCCACACAATCATATGCTCAAAAAAGCACCTACCAGATAATTAATAGTAGTCTTTGTGTTACTTCCGCCCATCTCTTGGTAAAATCTATAATCCGCAACCAACAGCAGAGGGCATCGGGTTTTGGTTGGGGTGTATTCATATTGATCTGCCTGTCTCTTACTTCGTGTGTCCAAATGAGCTTCCTTGATAGCATCTAAACACATACATAAAAACAACCTACCAAAATTATAATCCATCAGAGATATTTGAATTTCAAGAACTTTTTTCTATAATGGAAAAAAAAAACCCACGCACTACAATAATTTTCTATTCAGACAGTGCTATTCTCCAAAAAATAATATTTTTTTGACAATTTTTTATACGGATTTAATAGACACAAAATTTATTATATAAAAGGGAATAATTGAACTTTAATGTTGGTAGATAAGTGAAATTATACTTTGTATTGAGGTGTTCTAGAAATTAAATTACATTTTATTTTGAAATAAAAGTTTGTTGTTGTTGTTGTTGTTGTCTGTTTTTTATGTAAATCTCTCTCTCTCTCACACACACACACACACACATGTACACATATTTACAGCTTTATTAAAATAAATATTAAAAATTAATAACATACCCTCTGCCTCACGAACATATCCACACATTCTAGGGGATGAACCAGTTTCATCCAATGGCTGATCCCAACTGAATTGTACATCAGAAGCTCTATATGATATCATTGACATATTGTCCGTATGTGGCAAGTGACGCCATGATGGCTGAAATTATATTTTTCAGAGTTTGCTTAATAACCAAGAATACAGATCCAATACACAAACATCAATCAATTAGTTTCCCTCTGACAATTGCAACAGAAAATTATTTCAATTTTAAAACAGGTAATAAATTGCAAACTACATCACTACTAATATGGTCTATATTTATGCAACTCATTTTCAGAGTGACTAATGTCATAAATACATAATTAACTGCAAAATTCACTAAAATTCTATAATTTGCTTACAAAATTCACATCCTAACCCAATAATTTATTACATAGATAATCAATATTTCCAGTAGTCAACAATAATATAAAACAAAATTATAATAACCTCAATATGATATGTATCATCTGGTAAACTAATAGATGCTGTCATTAAACCATCTTCCAAGTGCACGCTTACATCAGAAGAAACTTCTCCAAATACTCGACCATGATAAAACTCTTCAGTATCTAGAAAGACGTTACACACATACTTTAATCTTTAGACCAGAAAGAAAAAAAAATATTTAAGTACACCTTTTAATAATAAAGTGCTTTTACCAACAAAAAGGGATCTTTCCTCTCCATCTCCATCAACTGTAAATGCTTTAAATTGAGAATGGAAAACTTCTTTTTGTGGACTAAGAATTAATCGAAAAGGCCTGAAAAAGATAGTTCTGATAAACTTTAAAACTCACAAATGCTCTATCCTAATTTATTTTTCTAGCTGAAATTTACAAATACAACTGTTAATTTATGATCCAGGTTACTTAAAATAGGGTCAATAAAATACCAATAAATATTTAAAACATCAAGGTTTTTTTGTTTTGAAAGAAGATTAAGATAAGTTCTTAACAAAATTTTGTGATTTAAATACTCGACTATTAAATCTATTAAAAGCATTTGACTTTTGTATTTAATACTTCAGTTGACTTTTCATCTTATAGCAAACATGTGAGTGTGAGGTTATAGTAAGCAAAGTGAAAATAGTGATTTTTTTAAAATTCAATGTCTGTCAATTATCTGATATGTCTCTTTTCTCAAATAATTTCAGTGACTTTTATTACAAGAGATGCACTGTATTTATAAATTAAGGTGGACCAGGATTACACCATTTGTGTACAGAGTTTGATAAATATAGAACATTTCAATTACATTTCCAGAAACACGTTTAATTCTGTGTTCACAGTCAATGGCTATTATATTGTTCCAGAAATTATAAACCTCCGTAATTTCATTTTCAAGAATAATTACTAAGAACATGAATATATAATATCCTTGGAATTATTTTTGATTCTCCATGTACAGAATATATGGAACTTTTCTCCAGATCTTTTGTGTGTGTGTGTGTGTGTGTGTGTGATGTGATCACAAAGGTTCAGCTTGTTAATTTTTTTTTAAAGTTACTAAAAATGTCAAAATGAATGGAAAATAATGGACCTTACCTCCCCAATGTATCAAATGACACTTCTTTAATTTTATTGAATGGATGTGGACTAGGGTTTACACCTCTTTTCACAATGTTATGATTTAATTCGGAGGCATGAAGCGTTTCATAATATTTCAAATTTTTATACAGTGTACCTAAAAACATTAATTAAGAAATTTGTAATAAACCGATTACTGAATACTACAATCTAAAATATTCCAATACTCACATGATATTGCTACAACATTTACTATCACCAATATAACTCGAAGAATTATGCTACACATTTCTAAAATACTCTCACATAAGCTTCAAGAATTCCATTACAATCATAACATAACAATAGTGGTGCATTTCTTTAGAAAACTACCATGGATATATTTAATCTCAAATCAGGACTTAAATTTCTGACTACTTATAAGGCCTTTCAGGCCTGACAGAAATAGTGACAGATGTCACATGGGCATTTGGTTTCCCAAATCACATCAGCTTCACAATTAAAAGCTTATCTCCGAGGTATGATAGCCACGTTGGTATAAAAATAGCACCCCATATCACCACCTCTATCACTTAATTTCACAGCTAACGAACGACCTGGCGGACCTGGCCACGACTGCCTGCGACTTCCCAAGACTTCTTTGTGCAGTTTTGTGAACGCACAGAAAGTGCAATGTACGTTCGCGCTACTGCGGTGAGACCATTCCTACCCTTACGGGTGCATACGGGCATCTATGGCCAATCTTGCAACATTAAGAAAAACAGAAGGTCAAAAATGACTTCAGCCTACTGGCGTGCGCATTGCGTGTGTGGAATTACTGTTACTCTTTGTTTCAAGTCTCATTTATCTGTTTCTGATTACTCGTACTCCAGGAAGTTTTTCGGACGCCTATATGTGGCCCGTTGATCGGGTTGGTATGAGGCAATCTCGAAATTGAGGACATTTTCTGAGTCAATTGCTTTTCAAAAAAAATGTTTAACGATATTTTTGATATGATCTATAAGCAGTGGCATTGATAAATCGCGATGTATATTTTCGATGGGAATGTTTCTAGGGACGCAGAGGGCAACCCTGAGACAGTCGTTTTGAACTAGTTGCAGGTTATTCAGATGCGTAGTTGCTGCAATTGCCCAACTGGGGCATGCGTAGTCCAGTTGCGGCCTAATTATTGCTTTATAAAGCGTGAGGCTGTTTGCCGTTGACAGTTTGCTCTGCTTGTGAAAGAAGCTTCGCAATCTGCCTCGGGTCTGCCGCGTTTTCTTTCGCACATTGTCGATGTGCAGAATAAATGTAAGTGCGCTGTGACACCTAAATATTGGGCATGTTTTGCCCAATTAATCGCATCTCCGCATAGCGCGAGAGGCATTGGCTGCGTGCAGAGTACAGCTGAACTCTTACATTGACTTTGACCCGCCACAACCCGCCCAACAACAGTAGTAAATGCTGATCCCAGTATTTCCGGAGAAGCTCGATCATTTTAGACGTGGCTATTACAGCCATATCGTCGGCGTACAATGCGATCTCCGTTTGAGAGTGGGTGGGAATATCACATCATAGAGGCTAAAGAGCGTAGGAGCAATCACACTCCCAGCACACTCCCTTGCGGCATTCCGGCGCGTATGGCGCGGAGGGTAGATTTAGCATTCAGAAGCGTCACTTTGAACGTTCTGGTTGCTAGGTATATAAAAGTGGATGAGGTGCACAAGGTATACAGGAAAGTTCATGGAATGGAGTTTGTAAAGGAACGACGACTACCTACCACACCTCTGTAGTGTGTGACACCTACATATATATACACAACAGCAGAACTAGCCTTTAGCTCTGTATGTACATGTGTGTGTATATACACACACATGTAATGTAATGGTAAATGCACCTACATACATATGAAGTACGCATTGCTTAAGAAGAGCAATGAATATTTCTTTCATACGTACGTGAAAGAAATCATCAACCCTTCCGACATGTTTAAATTAGGGTCGTGTCTGAGGCAGGCGCCGTGCCAGAGGTCAATGGGTGATTGGGCACTCCAAACCGCCGTCAGAGCGTTCCACGATCCAGACGTTGGGACGAACAGGAATCGTTTGAGGATCTTGGTGAGTTTCAAAGGGCACAAAGTCCTCTGACAGCTTATTGTCAGTTTAATTGGTCCAGGCAATGCCGAGTTCTGGCGGGGTGGTCGTAATGCGCCTCGTAACTCTCCCTCGTTTCCATATAAGGACCTGTTAGCGTTTGCATATCGACAGACAGCCTACAGACTTTGTTTGTAAACTTCACCTGCCTCTGCAGCTCACTTCTTCAAAAATAAACTTATTCATAAACTTCATTCCGGACTTTGGCCTTGTACTATGAAACCGTTCGCTCACCACACGCTCCTCCAGGGAACTTAGCTCCCTGCCGAAACTCAACTTTTAAATGCATCCTGTACGGGAGATAAGGCATTTGGTAAAATTGCCCTGCAATCGCTGCTAGTAGCATCGACACCTACAGCAAAGGCATTACACTCGGTGCCAGCGGCTTGGATTGAGGAGCACAGCGACTTCAAAGTACATTCTGCTGACGGGCCGGGCGGAGAACTTCGCGCTGTACCGAGGTGGGCCGGAGCCTTCTTTCGAGGGAACAACCGCTCCAGGGAATCCACAAGGCCGCCGTGCGTACCCGTTCACCCGCCTGCAGAAGCCGAGTCGTGGTTTGGAGGCCAGCATCAGCAGCCGCTGACGAGCCGAGGGACGTCTTCGGTGTTCAGCCGTTGGCAGCCCCTGCGCCGCGAAGGGTCCCTCTACCCTGATGGGAGAGCTGCGAAGGCATTCATGGAGGCCCGCAACTGCGCATCTTCAAGCCACCCTACATCTTTTTCTTTGGTACGAGGTTAATCCACCATTGGCGACGATGATATTGGCGTAAATGAGGAAAATCTATATATCAGTTGTACAGGCAGTAAAATTAATATCGCGTAACTTTGATTGGAAATCCCGACATCTGAGAGAATTTATAGAGGAGTTGAGGCAGCACGGAAGTAGTAACACCCAATAACGATCATTGCTTTTGAAATTCATTGAATCAAAAATTACTGAATGTTAAAAGATAGGTTATTAGCACAGAACACAACGCGAAACTTGGAACAGGTTAGAGCGATATTAGAAGAAAACTTCTCTGTACGTCGTACGTTAGAATATTACGCGGGCGTATATTCACGTCGAAGCAGGGATCAAATGAAACAGTAGCACAATGGGGTTCGCGAGTAGATAGTATGGCTATAGATCTGAGAAGGGAAGTAAAAGGCAGTTGGAAAAATTAGAACAGAAAGATAATGCGCGTTACGCTAGAAGGAGGTCTGCAGTTAATGGAGAATTCTTGAAGGGAACGTTTATTGCGGGACTGAAAGATGAAAGGATAAGGTATATTGTTAAAGCTAAAGGAGAAGAGGAATCTTAGCACAAATAGTTGAAACCGCTTTACAAGAGGAAAAGCGAACGTGAATCGCAAAGGTATAAGAATAATCGGCAATGGAATTCGCGATACGAGAATACGCGATATAATTCTAGAGAGCAACAAGTACGCATATTAAAAGTGAAGTTAATGTTACTGCTGTAAATACTGTGAAATGTAATAAGTGTCAGGAACTGGTGTCATAATATCTAGAGTTTGCAATAATGAACCGAAATGCGCCAAATGTGGAAGGCGAAATCATGAAACTAGAATTGCAACAGGGAAACAGGCAGTAGATTGCTTGAGCAGCCGCAAGTAACTCTACAAAATGGCTGCGTATGGTGATATGCGATACTGGGGGAAATCACAGCTGTAATAAGAGATTCGCGTGATATAGATACGTTAAGGAATACAGTTGTGATAGAGATTCACTGATATAGTTACTGTGATGAACCCTGGATGCGGCAAGGAGTCGCAGGAGGTTAACTGCGTAAAACAAGGGGACGCCTTGATAAAACCAGTTACATGAAAGTGATTTGGGACCATACGAGGTATATGTATTGTGTCCGAAATTAAGGAGGCTTAGGAATAGCCTTAATTGATACAGGGCCCAGGTATCATTTGTAAGGAATCTCATAGTCAAAAATATTGCCCAAAGGATGATGTAATTGAAATTCAAGGTATTAGTGGAAAAATATCAAGGTAAAAGGTATGGTAAATTTAACTCTGAATAATTGCAGTGAGCCCATTGAATCTAAAATATTATGTTGTAAAAAATTGCCTAGAAATATTGATGTTATATTAGGACAAGATTGGCTTTTAAGAATAATTATGGTTTACTAAAAATATTGCAATACCACCCTTCAGTGAGTCAGTAGTTCAATTCCCGACCACAGAAAAAGGAGTTGAGATAATGTCAGAGCAACAATTATTGCAGCCAGAATAGTCTGTGCGGACAACTTTAACGAATTGTATAAAACGTTTTCCGTGTCTTATTGTAAATGTCACGCCCAGAAACGTTAAGTAGTATGCGAGAAACACCAATATTAAAGAAACCTCCGACTCAGTTAAATAAATTCTACTGATAGGACGAATGAAGACGCGTTCGCGAAGCGGAGAATAGAATTATTATATGATAACTGAGATTGCATGCATATAGAGGAAAGGCAGCGAAAAGATATTAGAGATATATGTAGTGAATTGTAGATGTTTTCAAATTACCAGGAGACAAACTGACTAGTACGACAGCGCAAAACATTATATTCCCACACCCTCTATTCCTAAAGGTAGACACAATTACTTTAAAGGAATTATAGGTTACCTCAAGCTCATCAGGAGAAATTCAGAGGCAAGTAGAACAAATGCTGAATGACGGAATAATTACTCATAGTAAAGAGTGAATGGAATTTTCCTTTGCTTGTAGTTCCGAAAAAGATCGACGCGACTGGCAAAAAAGAAAGTGGCGAAATTTGCGTGGATTTATAAGACGACCTTAATGACGTAACAGTAGGAGATAGCTATCCTCTTCCAAATATTCAGGATATTTTGATAAAATAGGAAGATCGCGTTACTTTTTCTGCTCTCGATTGTGCCAGTGGGTATTTACAAGTGCCAATCGAACCAGAGATCAATTGCAAAACTGCATTTAGTACGGCTAGCGGCCATTATGAATACACGCGTATGCCTTTTGGTCTAAAATCAGCTACCTGCTACGTTCAACGCATGATGAACTCTATTCTGCAGAGTCAATTGGTAACAGATGCTTTTTGCTACATGACGATGTGTTGATAATGGGAGAAACCTTAGCCGAGCATAACAAAAAGCTAAGGGAAGTACTCGGGCAACTCAGAAAACATAATATCAAAATTGAACCCGACAAATGTGGATTTTGAAGGTAAGAATTAAATTACTTGGGTCATGTGGTGACCAACAAAAGGAGTAAAACCCGATCCGCGAAAGGTTCAATATCAGTAACAGAATTTCCAGACCAGGAAATCCGAAGGACATAAAGTCTTTTAGGTTTAGCAGGTTATTATAGAAAGTTTATCGATGGTTTAGTTCAATAGCCAAGACCTTTGACAGAGTTATAAAGAAGGATGTCGAGTGGCAGTGGACAGAAAAGGAAACAGAACAGTTTTGATTTACTGAGACAAAAGTTTAACTGAAGCACCCCTTTTACAATATCCTGGACTTTACCAAGCCTTTCATATTGACGACTGACGCTAGTGGATATGCAATTGGAGCAATACTTCCACAAGGAAAATTAGT